GACACAGGGAGAACATGCAAACGCCACACAGGCAGTCACCCAAGGCTGGGATCAGACACTGTGAGGCAGCAGTGCTAACCACTGAGCCACTGTGCTGTCCATATTGATATCTTCTCTCTGTTACCTCCTCTCTCCTAACTCACATATTCAGGGCCACCACTCACTCAAACTCTACTACTGCACACAGCTCTCACCAAAGCACAAGGGCTAAAACTCTAACCCACAGCATGTAAAGTCAACAAATCTCATCCATTCTATCCTCCAAAACTACTAACCCTTCCTGCCTGCTGTGCTTCCCACTAACACTCCTGCTCATGTATCACTGTGAATGGATCTTCCATACACTTCCATTCTTGACAATCCATTCCTTTGTCTCATTGCAGGAAAATATTCTCCCAGAATCCTGCTGAAACAGCCAAGATTAGTGGGCTGAGAATTTATAAATAAGGCTTTTCATGCCATAGGTGGAGAAAATTCTCTGACTGGCTGGAGAAGAGCTCAGTCACTCTTGCGGGGCAGGATGCTCAGCTGCTCTTACATTAACACAAACGTTGATTCATTCTTAACATGCAAAAGCTTTTATCCCTCTCAGACAACTATTTCCCAATCTAATCTTATTGGGCAGGCACCCAGTGAACATCTGATCCCAAAAGGGCAGCACAGAGACCCTCAGCTCTACTTCCGAGCAGGGAGTCAATGAATGAGGACACATCAGTAAGATTTTCATCTCTGTGGGTCCACTTTCTAGAATAAAGTCAGAAACATAATCTGGTGAGCACATCACGGTCAGCAGATCAAGAGGAAACAGGCTGGGTCTTAGAAGGCTGTCAGAGACCAGGCACCTGCTCAGCTCCAGACAGAAACTGAACCAGTCTTGGCCATTAATGATTTGGTCAAATTGTACAAAGATGCAAAGATACAGGTTTGCCAAAGGCAGTTGGTAAATGGAACAAAGGATGAAGATATCCATTAAAGTTATCAGTACTGTGCTCACTACAGCATGTATGCATCTGACTACTTCTGTAGACAGATTGGTGAGTGCCATGGAAAGTCAGGTCCAAGACACTCAGTGTCCTTCAAACTAGCTGCAGAAATCAGAACTGCCTTAAACATTCTGGGCGGGGGGGTGGGAGAGGAAGAATAAAACATGCTGGGTACACATAGATGGCACGGGAGATGCATAATTGTAAATAACCTTATACTTTGCAAACGTATCTTCAACTGCACTCTTAAAATATGTGACCTAGTGCCTTTGTTGCTGCTGGACCTGGTTGAATCACACCTGTGATAAATGAACAGCTTCCAGACATTGCAAGGGATGAAACTAGGTATAATAGCCAAGCATTGCTCACCTCTCACAAAAAAATTAACTCCTTGACTGCAGACAGCTCCGACGTCATGAATTCTTGAACTGTGATGTTTGATGACTGCAATCAAGGTGTTACACTGAGGTTAAATGCAACTTGCAGGGAATGTGCTAAGGTCTGGTCTGCACACATCATTTCACAATAATACCGAGGGTGAGAGTACAGCATCTGTGATGATTCCACACATCTCTGGAGGGAACGTTTCATTCTATCAAACAGGTCTTCAAGGGAGTGCATAGCCATTCAAGGCTGGGAGGTGTATAATGGGCAGTTCATATGTTCACTCTTCCTCAAAGTGCATTGGTATGTTGAGAAAAGCTGAGCAAAGAACTGTCTCACACAGGTTCAATGCTATCCTGTGCTATTAAATGCAGGATGCTCAAATATTTCAGGGCAACATAGCAGTCTATACACATTCTGAAACATTGAACGCTAACAAAAGTTGGAAGAGTCAAAAGGAGGTGTCACAGCATTTGTTTCAATCTGTTGCCTATCACGAAAGACATCGTGATAACACAGGGATATAATATGCTGACTGAAACATTAACCTTGCTGAATTGATGTTATTGGTGTTACTCTGTGGTGCAAACCAGCTGTCCAGCCAACTTAGCCAACCACCCCAACCCCATATTAACTTAATGCCCTACTGGCTGCTTTTTACTTCTTTATATCCAATGGTCAGTAGGACATGTAATATGTAGATACTTGAAAATGGAACCACTTAAAGATATCAAATGTACAATAATAAGGATGACAAGACATTTATTCAGCAACAGTAACAGTCAAGAACTGCAAAAATAACAAAGTTCACGTCTATTCTGCTCCAAGCACAGGTTGTTTTCCATATTACCAATAGAATATTAAACAAAGTCCAAACCAACTCATTCATCCTGGAAGCATGTTACAAATAGATTCACTCTGGCTTCTCATGCTGAATGAGGCATTCTGTCATGTTCTGTCCTCATCAATGGTCTGATCCTTATGTACATCTTCATCCTCAGAGGACTGCATTCAATTCCCCACTTCCTTTGCATCTAAGACCACCTCCACCCCATCCCAGTCAGTTCCAGTGTGAAGAGCACAACATGCTACAGTGATGTGGCACATTCTGTCTGGGCTGTACTGTAAGAATGCACTGGAGTGGCCCAAGCATTGAAACCTAGATCCATTCCACTATGGCCCTGGTGGAAGAGTGAGCAACGTTGTATATTAGTTCTGTGTCAATCTGAGAATTTTGTATTCATGTTATCAGCCATGTTTGAAGGGGATTGCCCACGATCTCAGCAGCTATTCCTGTATGGTTCAAGGACTATAGAAAGAGGCTGGAACCTATGCGCACTCTCGTATGTAAACATCATAGCAGTTCCCAGGCAATCCAGCTCAAAATTACAAAATCAATGGTCACATATAATTTGAATTTTGATGAAGCATAAGCCTTTTCTGTTATGAAAATGTGCAGGTTGATTATAGGGCACATTCAAAGCAAGATGGATGCATCTATCGCAGTCTGTATCTGAGGGAAGCCGGCGACAGTGGAGCATCCCACTGCCTGAGTTGCTTGACACTTCTCGTACTACGTGATGGATATAAAGGACTTTGCTATGGAGAAAACGGCTTCACTTACATTGCACTTATGGATTAAGGTAGGTGGGAAATGCCAACTGGACCCAGTTGCTTCTTGAAATGAGTCACCAACATAAAAAAAAAGAGCAGTTATGACCTTGACAGCCCCTGGATAGGGATTGTCATTCTGAGCACAAGTCCTGTTCCAGCAGATGTGGTGATGGTCCAGGACATCATTAGTCAGCAGCTGTATTCTTTCTGAGAGCTCTAGAAAGGACAGTGAGGCCACAGATGCATTCTCCTCTGCCCCTTTGGGGTATCTTCACCTCCCCGTTTAGGCTGTACAGCAGCCACTTGTCACGAAAGTTAGAAATAAATTGTGGAAATCATGTAATAGGCCAGAAAACATCTAGATGCCACCAATCAGTTTTAAAAAGAGCAACCAGCAACTAACCTGTCTGTTGTTGATGAACCCTTTACACACCAATCTTGAATATTATTTGCTAAATGTTACCATCATATGTTGCCAAGCAAGTTCATCACATGATGAGTTGGGCACTGAGGCAGTCCAATGGCATAATAAGGATCTTACTCTAGTGATTTTTAAGAAGTATTTAAATGAGCACTTTCAACTATTTTGATGCGTTCCCTAGATCCTTATCCAACATGGTAGCTGCCAAACATATGATATCAGACATTTTCTAGGCCACCACTTGCAGGAGAAAATTGTAAAGTTAAAAGAAAATTTGTGAATAAAATACTCCCAACCAATTCCACAATACACCAGAAAAAACTTGATTGCTGTGCTACACTGCAGTAAAGTACATTCATAGTTGCCAAATCCTACAATAATAGCTAAAATACAACACAAAAAATACAAATAACATAAACAGTGGATCAAAATATCTGACACAGAAGATATATTACCAATTGTCAGTTGTAGACAAATATTAAAGAAGGGGACACACAGCATTTCAAAGTGCAATGGAGCTTCTAGTACTAAAAGCTGGCTTTGAAACCACCATAAGAACATTATAATTTATACCTAGGACTAACTCAGCAATCATTCGATGGGTGTGAGGTAACAACCTTTGGAGTGATATCAATATTGGATTTTGAACCTCTGAATGCTGGCTGGTTTTGTCCCTGATTGTCCCAACTCCAAACCTTGGGACAGTAGCATATTTTGGTCAGGCAGCTGTGCTGCTTGCTTCAGCAGTGCAGGGAGGAGATGGGAGGGGCATTGCTACAACATCTTGCCATAGTGTCAGTCGGGCCATTGTGCAAACTGAAGATAACAAATTTTAACAAGATTCCAAATTTAAACTTGCTGCTTTCGGAGAACTCAACTATGTTAATTGGACAATTTTCATTGCCAGAATCTAGCTGTTGCAAGCATGTAAATCTACTTCATGTAGATAAGCATTTGTGGTAGATGGAATCCCAATAGGTAGCACAATTCTGTCAGTTATGACTTTGTACTTGAAATCTACAAGAAATATGGGTTTTTAAAAAAAAGGCTTCATTTGAGGTGGAACTTTAAATGCTGTCAAAAAAGGGACAGAAACTTGTTACAATTGGGTCTTGGTCTGAATTATTTCCCCTCTCAAACAATAAGCTTCAACAGTGAACTCTCTGGGCTATAGATTTTCAAACTGAGTGTCTATTGCAAATCAAATTTTATAACACATATTCATTTCCTAAATTAACAGCAGAGCCTATAAATTTCAAGACAGTAAAACAAAATACTTACTTATCAATAAATTATGATAACCAATTTTACTTTATGTTATGGACTTCAACTGATAAAATATTCACTTTTGAAATGTAATAACACATTTCTGTACAGAATATCTGTGGTAATATACTAGCACCCTCTTTTAGAGTTTAAACCTATCGTCCTGATTATATACCAGAGAATATATTACAGCTGTGGCAGGTTCAAGGTCAAATTAACAATAAATGGAAACTTATATCTAATAAATACATTCGAATGGGCACTTTTAATCTTCATATTTCATGGCAAGATCAGTGATACAGAGGAGGTTTAAAAGAAGTAAAATGGTTTACCTTAAACTCTGTCTCAATATTGGCTAGTTGTGCTAGTTCATTACTTAGTTCCAAAGCTGTAAGTACTGGGTCTTCACTTGATAAAGACAAATGAGCAGCACTTGCTAATCCCTTGTATGCATTCATCCTGGACCTGGAATGACTAAAAGAATCTCGTTTTTGTTTCTCAATGCACTCACTGCATTTGCAAAAATAGTCATGAGGTTTCTCAATCCGTGCACCCTTCAGAAGAAGTATATGTACAATCTCATATTCCTGGCAATGAGAAGCAAGAATGACTGGAGTGATGTCTTGGGAGAAACGTGTACCGTCCTCATCATAGGCATAAAAGTCATCGTCCCGAAGCTCTTGCTCAAGAGGGCTCATGGCCAAACGATGTCCTTGGGCAAAGGCTGAATGATTTAAAATTGCCTCCACTATCCTCACATAACCTTTGCTGATTGCCAGCAGTAGTCCATCACCAATCCGTGCAAGATTCTCTTTCTTTAAAAGGAGCTCTGTCACTTCCAAATGTTCATTTCCCACTGCAAGTTGTAAAGCATTCTGCCCCATATAGTCAACACAATTGAAATTCAAGGTCTTTGACTCCTCTAGCATCTTGCGCACCACTGGTATATTTCCATATTCTGCTGCATCCAGGAAACGTTCCTCTTCAGGTGTCAAATTTTTGCCCTTCTCATTGAACATGTAGGCTGGACCTCTGATGGCCTGTCTCCTTCCCTTCTCACGAAGGGTGGTGTGCCTCCTGTGCATGGTTTGAGTGTTGCTGTTATCCAAACTACAAAAGAAAACAGAAGAATGCACAGGTATTGCATTTGCTAATTATAAAATAAGAAGGTAAATTGACAATTATTGGAGTTTTTCAAAAATATTAAGAAATGCCAGTGATTAAAGAAAACAGAAATACTATAATTGACCAGCCATCTAACTGCTTCGTGTCAGAAAAGTAGTAAAGGTTGAATATTGATGCAAGTCCTGTAGTAAAATTCATGAGTCTTAGCAGCCAGTTCCCAAAGACAACTATTGGTTTCGGATCCTCCGCTATTCCATGTGAACATAATTTTAAATGCTATTTTGAATATTTTAATTTTAAATCCTCCCGTTTTGCCCTAATAAAAAACATACTTGAATTTTATAAAATGTACTTAGGTGTTTAAAATGTTTCCTTGACATTTCCCTAACTTAGGTTCTAACATAGCTCAGAAAAATGGGATTTAAGCTGTAATCAGTCTAATGACCAGAAGCATAACTGGTGGTAATTCTGAAGGATAGGTTTGCTCAGAGCATTGGTAATCTTACCCTGATTCTTTTGTTCTCATTGAACTTCCTCCATCACATATTCTGCATCATTCGTCGAGGGTCATTAAGCAGCACCCTACAACTCACTTAGACATCTATCACCTAAGATGACAAGGGCAGCAGATGCATGGGAACACCACCACCTGCAAGCTCCCCTGCAAACCACACCCCACAGACTCACACACCATCCTGATTTGGAATTATATTTCTGTTCCTTCTATGACACTGGGACAAGTCCTGGAAGTCCCTCCTAATGCCTATGGCACCACATTGACTGCAGTGTATCAAGATGGCAGCTTGCTTTTTTTTAAGGGCAGTTGGGGATGGACAATTAATGTTGACCTGGCCAGCGATGTGAACAGCCATTCCAAGAATGAATAAGTTTAAAAAAAAACCTACTGCTTTAATTCAAATGACACATCTTACTTTAGCCACTAAGTACAAACACTTGTCCATTTGCCTCTCTTTCTATCCCCCTCCCTGGCTCATCCTGGGTCCTGGGCTCCACCATATGAAAATATGGAGGACTATTCTCTAAACAATGTACTGTCCCTTGCTTTCAGTCATACAAATATTGTTACCGAAATCAGGATGGTTGGTAGTTGAGTGTGTTTGCAGATGCCTACTAGGAAGCTTCTGTATAATGTTGTATACTGTGGAGGAAGTGACCTCTAATCTGTGAGTTGTGCTTGTACAATGCAATGCAGCAAAACATGAACTATGCTATTTCTTCTATGCAGACAGAGGAGGGGAGGTTTGGTGCCTCTCAGTTACATTGATTGCGGATACTCAGTGTATTTAGTTGTTGCTCAGATTATTAGATCCATTATTTCTTGCAGTTTATGAAGTGGTGTGAGTTTGCATCCAACAGATTGTTTTATCTGGTGTGGAAACATTTATGTTATCTCTTGTAATGTAAGAAATTGGATCTGGATATTGAAGAATCCAGAGACATTTATCCCAACTAGCTATAAGGTGCAAACATTACATTCCTCAGGCACATAAGTGTCTGTACTTAAATTTAAAATATTAGTTTACTGTAGTGGTAGGATTAAAAACGGCATCTTCAAGCCAGATCATTAAGGGTTAACCGTTAAGGGTTAACTGTTAAGGGTTAGTTGAATATGAGAATGAGCAAATGAAATAAAGTGAAAAAGTACATGGGAAACAGGCCAAATGTGAAAGTAGCTTGTTTTGACTGAGGAATAACCGTGTGATACTACACCGCTGTGAGAATTGTCCAGCTTGGCCGTCACATGGAGTCATCTGGAAGTGTTTTTCTCTATAATGGAATGTCCAGGAAAGTACTGAAAGTACCATGGAATGATAACATGCTACGTAATCTTAGATTCAGAATAATATTAATATTGGGGATTTTGCCTTACTCAGCGGACTTCACCTTGGACCATGATTGTGAATGGTGCCTGGAACCCAGAGTTCTCCAGGCTAATCATTGTAAGCAGGGTCCCCAAAGGGCAGGAGGCAGTGAGACCCATTGCTGAACATGTCTGAAGTAGTTTAAGTTAACAGCTCCGCTCATTAGTTTACTTATATTTCAAATCTATCTACATTAGATTATTGTTTAATATACATATATATTGCTATGTATACATACATATATTTATCTGCTGCTTTACATATATTTCTACTTATTATATACTTAGTGCTCAATATGTAAATTTACCACTTAACATGTCCACTTAATATGTCTATAACCATCAATAAACTTGTTAATTAGAATCACCTAACGCAGAGTATTTTGTTACATCGAATCCACTATCGAATTATAACATTTACCCCAAGGGAACAAATTTCCAGTACAGAATCATAATTCAGGCAATTTGAGGTAATATGGACTATGAGACTTTGTATTTTTGAGTACAATGCTATGATAAAATGATATCATGAGCATGTCTCTTAAAGATATACTGACTGGGATGACATTAAGCTTGAAGGAGAAGATGGAGAAGACTTTCCAAGCTATTGTATACTCAATAAACTATCATGTACTCACCATTCAGGCTTTGAAATATATCGCTGTTCCTTCAATGTTGTTGGGTCAAAATCCTGGAAGTTCCTCCCTAACAGCATTGTTGGTCTATCTAAAGAACACAGACTGCAATGGTTCAAGAATGGAGGTCACCACCACCTTCTGAAGGGTAAATAAGAATGGGCAATAAATGCTAGCCAGCCAGCAACACCCACATCCCTTGAGTGAATAAAAAGAATATACTGCTATGTTGTTGTCATGCATGACTATGGGAGAACAAAGGTGCAACAGCACCTGGGAAGGACGCATTTTCATCTTTTCTCCGGATGACAGAAAATCAGATTCTCCAGCGATGCTTTGAGCAATGCCAGAAAGCCATCAATGCCACATTACTCCAACAATTAGCTATTGGCCTAGTTTTGATTTCACCCCACATTTTAAACACCCTCATTAGATGCACATTAGCCTAGTGCCTTCCAAATTATAGCAACTCTTTTTTGTAATGAAAAAGAAGGTGCCATCAGGCTTTTTTTTCTGTAATCATTTGTTTCTGAGACAAAGCATCTGGTTGAATTTAGGTAACATATCTGGACTCTCTTACTTATTAACCAACTGATAATCCTGTGCCGTGACTTTCTCAGATCAATAAACAAATGAATTAGTAAGTTTAAAACAGCTGATTTCTTTCAGTTGAAAAAACGCATACCAGCATGAAAAAGCTCTTGTGACGTGGTGGTAGTGTCCCTCTACCTCTGAGCCAGGAGGTCCAGGTTCAAGTCCCATCTTGCTCAGGAAATGTGCAATAGCATCTCTGACCAGGTAAATTAGAAAATATCTACACCTATATGAACCTTTGAAGAAAGGTGGGCACTGCAGGGGGTGGAATGTCTTATTTCCCCCTCCAACACCATTTTGATTCAGTCCCCTCCCTCTCTCATGACCTTTTATTTACCTTTGGTCTTATTGCACTGCCTCTGATGGGTTTTGCAGGTAAATTGGGAATTAATTGGAAACGTGGGTGATTTAATGGTGGAGGATAAAGGGAAAAAAATAGCACAGGTAATTTTGTGATGGGTAAAAATACTGTTCAATGATGTGTGAAAGCATTCCTGGATAAAAATAAAACAATATGAAAAATAAACCAAGCAACTGAATACAATTAAGTGTGAACTTTGGCTATTTCATAGAATTTTGACATTGTTATCTGGACCAAAGTTATCTCCTCTTCAAATAGGATTTAGAAGGGTTTTTTTTATTGAGGAGGTTAATTGCTCCATCAACAGTAAATGCTCTCCATCTGTTCTCAGCATATGTAAATCTCAAAACAAAGCATAAAACATAATTAGTTTCCAACATGCATTCTAAAAAAAAATCTACCTACATAAAATTGTCTTTTCTAATTCAGGCTCTTTTTTTAACCATTGGTACAGATGTGTAAAACAGGAGAGTTAATGGTAAGAAATCTATTGGCCAATAGTGATGTCAAAGAATTTAAGTATGATAATTGACTAGTTATACAAATACTATTAATTCAGTGAAAAGTACTTTAGGATGAGCATCAATTGAATTCAGTAATATAATTGAATCAGAGATAGTACGAACTGCAGATGCTGGAGAATCCGAGACAACAAGGTGCAGGGCTGGATGAACACAGCAGGCCAAGCAGCATCATAGGAGCAGAGAGGCTGACGTTTCGGGCCTAGACCCTTCTTCAGAAAAGGGGGAGGGGAAGGGGGTTCTGAAATAAATAGGGAGAGAGTGGGAGGCCGATAGAAGAGGGATAGAGGAGAGGATAGGTGGAGAGGAAACAAACAGGTCGAAGAGGCGGGGATGGAGCCAGTAAAGGTGAGTGTAGGTAGGGAGTTAGGAAGGGGATAGGTCAGTCCAGGGAGGATGGACAGGTCAAGGGGGCGGGATGAGGTTGGTCGGTAGGAGATGGAGGTGCGGCTTGAGGTGGGAGGAGGGGATAGGTGGGAGGAAGAACATGTTAGGGAGGCAGGGATGAGCTGGACTGGTTTTGGGATGCGGTAGGGGGAGGGGAGATTTTGAAACTTATATTAAAAGAAATCACAGTGAGACCAATCCCAGAAAGTAATAATAGGGTTTAGATTTATTGAACTAAACTGTTGTCCCATGTGAACCCAATTATAAAATCTAATTTTGAATATTTTAAGTTTTAAATGAGATCCCCTGGTTCCCTCCTAATAAAACTTATTTGGAATTTATTCTCATCCAGACACTGTCACTATCGATGGCTGAGAAAAATGAAGGAGCCAACAATGTTACTTGACTTTGCTGACCTCACATCACACCCTATGGTTATGGAGTTGTGAAAACAAATAGTGTGAAAAAACTGAAATTAGCAGAATATATAAAACAACATGATAATTATACTTATGAAGAAAAGTTATTGACATGGAAAATAATGACAAATCTCAAGAATGGGTTACAGTGATACAGAGTA